ATATTAACAGCATAAGCTATATCCGGACGAGTACGATTGCAAAGAAACGAGAGACATCCCAAAACATTTCTATAAGGATAATTCATCATTTCAGTCGTTTCTTCTTGTGTACTGGGACTTTGAGTATTTCACACCTTTAACTATTGGAAGGGAAGTAATTTGTATTTTAAAAGACTTAAATCGATCAACTATGTCTTCTATATATAATTGCTGATGAATTAAAACACTATTTTTCTCATATTCAAATTCCACACCCAGAAGCTTTCTTGTTTTACCTAAAATTTTCAAATCAAAATGTGAACTCAGGACTTTTAATATCCTTTTGGCCTGAACTTCACTTTTCCCAAACACAACTATATCATCAACATAAACCAACAGAATGACAAAATCTTTAAAACGATAGACACAATTACACCACTCAAACTTGATAAACCCTAGGTTACATAGTGTTCTATCCAACTCGTAGTACCATAATCGGCCACTCTGATGCAAACCATACAAGGCTCTATCTAAACGACACACAAAAGTTTCTTTATCTCGCTCTACAAAACCCTGAGGTTGGGACATGTAAATTTCCTCTGATAAAGGAGCGTAGAGATAGGCACTTTTTCACGTCACATTGTATATTTGCCCATCCAAGGTGTGCAACTAAAAGGGAGAAAAAGAGCCTTATTACTGAAAAGTTGACTACAGGAGAGTAGGTTTCATCATAGGTATCGTATTTAATTTGCCGATAACCCTGAGCCACTAAACGAGCTTTAAAACGAACAATGTTTCCAAATTCGTCACGTTTAATGTTGAAAATCCACCTGCAACCTAGTGGAGTCTTGTCTTTAGGAAGTGGAACAAGATGCCATACCTTATGCTTTCGCATGTTGGCCATTTCCTCTTCCATTGCCTCTATCCATTTAAGCTTTTCTGTGGATTTCATTGCCTGGTTATAAGTGTTTGGAATTGAAACATCTAGTCAGCTATCTCGGGTATACGACGTTGAAGGAGTACCAGTTGGGTCGATTTCACCACTATAAGTATTGCTTCCCTTGAAATCAAACAAGGTAGGATCATACTGAATATTATGTTCAGTGCAATACCTTTCTACATCATTTGGTGATCGTAGTCTTTGATTAGACCCCCTCTCAAAATAATACACATCCGTACGAGTGCCGTCTGGCCTTGGAACAGGTTTACGAAGCCAAGTTACTTGTCTCAATGTAGATTGAGTGTCAGTGCCAATTGTAGAAGAAGGTACATTGGTATCGGTTCTTTCCTCTATTTCAGGAAAATAGCCAACTGGAGTGTCAGTAGATTGGAACTCTACCCTTTCTTCAGATTCCAAATCAGGAAGGGTGCCCAGTGCAGCTCCACTGCCACTTTTCTGCATTCCAATTCGACTCTTTAAAAGTAGCATTTAGGGTTTCTACTACCTTTTGCTCATTTTCCAACCAAATCTTGTACCCTTTTGTTCGTACACTGTACCCAATCAATCGGCCCTTTGTTGCCTTTGGATCAAGTTTAGAATTTCTTTTAGCCTTTGGAATTCCCACATAGGCAATCGTTCCAAATGCCTTAAGATGACGTACTGATGGTTTCCGCTTAGTGTATAATTCGAATGGGGTTCTATCTTGGCCCTTATGACAAATTCTATTAAATGAATATGCAAAATACATTACTGCATCTGATCTGACCAAAATTCGGAACTCATTCCACTATCGTGTAAGATTGCACGTACATTATTTAGAGCTGTCTGATTAAATCTCTCACAAACTCCATTCTGTTCTGGAGTATAGACATCTGTAAATTCGTGCTTTACACCATTTTTATTACAATATGACCTGAATTGATCATTATCATATTCTCGCCCATTGTCAGTCCTAAAGTATTTCAACTTAAGGTTCAAAGATCTTTCCGCACGTGCTATATGCCTTTCAAATACTTCAAACACCTGACTTTTCTCCACAATGGGGTACACTACCACATAACGAGAATATTCGTCAATAAAGGAAACGAAATAACGTTCACCATTCCTACCTGGAATGTTAATAGGTCCCCATACATCAGAGAAAACCCTTTCAAGCGGTCTCTTTTACTTGAATACCTTCTAAAGGTCTATAGGAGATTCGTCTTTGCTTATTGATTTGGCAATGTTCACAAAACAAATTAGGTGAGTGCTTTAACACAGGAAGACCTCGAACTGAATGTCTCTTACTAGTCCTGACAATAGTATCATAATTTATATGACCAAACCGACCATGCCATAATTCACTATTATTATGCTGAACTGTGGATGCCTCAAATTTTACAGATTTGCCCCCCTTTTTGATTATTTTCGGGAATACATGATAGTTACTTCCTATCAACTTAGCCTTGTACAAAGTTGAATTCTCATCATCAGTAACTTTAATTTGCCCATTTTTACCATAAAATCTTCGCTCCATTGATATCCACCCTAGGTCCAGATATTAAATTTCGTCTCAGTTCAGGTGAATATAACACATCTTTAAGCAAAATAACCGTATCCCCAAATTTCATTTTAACAGTACCCTTCCCATGAATTGGAAAAGTTACCCCATCAATAGCTACTAGCATATTCTCATTTTTCACAGGAGAAAAAGTATCAAACAATTCACGATTTTTACAAAAATGATGAGATGCAGCCGTATCAAAAATCCAACTATCATCATTTTCTTCCAAATTGTTAACATTGGCTTGAGCTATAAAATGGGACTGTGCATGGGAATTATTTTTACCTTTACTCAACTTGGGTTTATTCTTACACTTAGAAGATGTTTTTATTACTACTAGATACAGCTGAGGAAACAGAAGAAGCAGGTGAGGGTGATCTGGAAAAATTACCTCTCATTCTACAGTATTTTTGAATATGACCTGGACGGCCACATTTATAACACTTGAGCCCTTTAATCTGCTTAAATTTGGGTTCACAGTGAGTACTTTGAACTTCTATAGTCTTATTGGAGTTTTTTCCCTATCTCTATCTCTCTTAAATTAAGACGCGTTTCCTCTGCTAGAATTTCAAGTTCAACATTTTTAAAAATGAACTTTTCATCTGGCCACCTCAAAATATTCTGAACTACTTGATCAAATTTATCTGGAAGAAACCTAAGAAACTGGAAACATATATATATACATATCTTACAGCCTGATTAATATCAGCTAACTGTTCAGTTACGCGTTTTAATCTAGAAGAAAAGAAACTAATACTTTCATTTGGCTTGATTTTGCAATTTAAGAACTCTGAAAACAGGGACATATGTCTTGACCGATAATCTGGCTGGAAATATTTGGCAAGCGTATTCCATGCCACTACCGGGTCATCAATTTCACATATCAAATTTCTATATTCAGGGCTTACATTCATATAAATTAACGATAATGCCAATCGACTTCTATTTTGATAGTCGGCAATAATTTCTTTTGCAATACCCTTAACATCATCTAAATCAGGACATTTACTCAATACCTTTGACCAAAAGCCATGCATTTTTTTCATTCAAGACAAACTTCATATCTTTGGACCATGTAAAATAATTACATGCATCAAGTTTAGCAATATTGTGCATGACACTAACAGTAGCCATATTTGAATTTTAACAAAAATCGCCCCCCCCCAATCTCTTAAGTCCCAAATTAACTTTAAACTTCAAAAGTCTGCACTAAAAATAACTCAGAAGCTGATGGCCCATAACCAAAATGATGCTAAAGCAAAGTTTAAAGTTTAAAGAAATTAAACACTTAGCAGTAGTAGCAATGAAAGCTCCCTGAGATATGTTGTGCAGACATTGAAGACAATAAAAGATTTTGAACTTAACAAATTTATTAACAATATAATAAAAACACATAAAATAAATGTCAACAATATTAGAGTATTAGGAAAAATACAACATAATCATCATTCATCAAATATTTTTACCTGTACTCCAAAACACTGGCATTCTATACAAACAAAAACACAACAAAAAAAAAAAAAAAAAAAAAAAAAAAGAAGATGTCCTAAATAGTGACTATGCAGCCTAAAAATAAAGCTGGCTACCCATTCAATAAGTCCACAATCAATGGTCAAGAAAACACCTGAAAAATTTAAATGTGAAACCACTTAAAACCGGCCTAACTTCGTTTGCACAAGGAGTCGTCGCCGCTCACGTATTTTTAATTCTGCCCTCATTGAAGAAACATGGACGCCGCCCACGGCAGTCACTCACAGGATAGCCCCCGGAACTGAAGAACTTCAATCTGGAACCATCATCTCGCAAACTGGAATCAAGGCATCCTTTCACCGGACTGCATGCATCCCTTGAAGGGGCTGGAAACCGCTCACTTACCAGCCGGGAAACCAGGAACTAGAAGCGCTGAGCCAGAGCGATGCGAGATACTTATAGCAGAAGTAGGAATGACGTCATCTCACGGCAACCAATCAGCTATCGGCACGAATCGGCTTTTCAGATGACGTAAATCATGTTTCGTTTTTGCATCTCAATTAGGTTGAAACAGTCCGTTCTCAATGCAAACAGTGGCAGCAAGAAAAGAAGTAGAAGTAACTACTATATTATATTAAAATAAGGACTAAACTAAATAAACATTTCAAGGAGGAGAGATGATGCAGTAAAAGGTTTAAAAATAAGCTATATTTTCCAACACAACGCAATCATCAACATTAACTGAAATAGATAATTAGATAATTTTAGCTTATACCATCCGTTGTACATTAAACGTGCACGCGAAGACGTATTCTGCGCTTGCGCAGACGCATATGCGCAGTCGTAAAGGTCTTGTGTGCACACGTAAAAGCCTATGCGCATGCGTCAACGCGGCGCATGCACAGAAAGATTTTAGCTTTGAGGTCCGGATTATGGGTGTCCGAATTAACGACTTTTGACTGTAATATAAATTATTGACAGATTTTAAAATTGACATTTTTGGTTTAATAAAGAAATATAATAAAATAGTAAGAAAAGCAACATAATTGTTCATACCAAGAGCAATACCAGAAAGTCTCTCATCTTGAAACTGAATCATTTGATATGCAAATCCCTTCCCTTCTTCTCCAATTATGTAATCAACAGGTACTTTGACATCTTCAAAGAATATCTGTGCAGTATCTGAACATTTCATTCCAAGCTTTTTAATCTTCCTTGAAATATGAATGCCTTTAAAAAAGAAAAAATAATGCAGAATAGACTACAAGGAAGTATAAAGAAAGTTTAAAAGTCTGTTATTTTCATAAAAATAATTTCATCCATTTGCTTTTTTCTTTGAAAAAGCTTAGCTCTTCAACATAATTGTTGTTAATATTAATGCATTGCTTCAGAAAAAAAAAAGTATTTGTAATATATATCCATATAATGTTCCTGTCAACTAAAGCCATGGGAATCAAACTTCATTCCCGATTTCCACCTCTATCTGAAATTTTGGAATTAGAATTCCGCTCTGCAGGAGGAATGGCTTAATATTCCTTTAAATACTGTCCATGACCTTTATGCATCTATCCCACGTCACATTCCATCTGTACTTCAGTCAAAGGGTGGTCCAACCCCCTATTAATAAAGATTTTCCATTATTTCACAGGTATTCCTATTATTTTGTCCTCCATCTGTATATATATTTATGTTCATATGTATTGTTATGAATTTTACAATTAGATAGGTAGTTTTTGTAGAATTATAAGTAAAACTGTATTTTCTTATGCAATGTAACATGAGTCAAATTTTAAGAGAAAGCTATGCCGGAAAAGTAAGAATACAGGGGCACATGCATTTAACATTGAATAAATGGGTATCTCGGTAATTTATATTGAAACTGAATAAATGTAATAGATCATTATGTCAGCTGTAGCCGTAATTCCACCCTCATATTGCTTTCCAGTAATTTCAAGAAACAGAAAGTTCTAGAAATATCTAGCAGCTGGTTAAACACTATTTAAGGCCATTTAGTTAGCTGTTGTTATTGATGGTAGTTTAGCTTTCTCTTTAGATGAGCTATGCATTCTGTGGCCTTTAATGTTCTTAGTAGTTTGTAGTGTAACTACTGATTATACTGTGAACACTTGTATGAATATTTCTGTGGAAAACTCCAGAGTTCTGAAATATTTCTCTTGATAAACAAATTTTTATTAACCTATTATCAGACTTGTGCATTCAATCTATTATGAACCTGTACACACACAATTGGCCACCATTACTTTCTATGAAGAGAAGGACAGTTACAACCGTGCCTTCTCTAGTATTCGAAACCAGGCCCTTTGGTATGCAGTCAGCTCCCTTAACCACTATACTATATGAGCGGCAAAATAGAAAATGGTATTTAAGTAATAAGGTAATATTATTCACTCAACTACATTTCAATTAATAAAGAATGCATATCTTAAATTCTTAAAAAGCTCATGAGTAAGAGATTTATATGTGAGTTTCCCACCTAAATTCATGTTCCATGAAATATTTGAGAGCACTAAAAAATTGTATTTTAATATTTTTGGTGTATGGAAATATTATTATTACTTTTTGTTAATCATATTAAACTAAGCTGATAATAAAACTATAGGACAGAATGATGAAAAATGCATATATCATCCAAATTCAAAATATTATGTTCTCTTACGAACAGAACCTACCATTTAAATACTATGTAACATGTTGTGAAATTTTTTCATAAATAGCCATAAGTTAACTTCCAAATAAAATTGTATTTAAAAGGCAAAATGATACCATATTAGTATTTCATAAAACCAGATATTTTCCACTAAATTGAAATAAGCAAAAATTCAAAATATAGTAAAAAGGTTAAGAGTTCAACTAAAAACTGTTTTGATTCAAATTTTTTAAGAATTTTTCACATAATAACTTACAAGAATTCTCACATTTTAAAATATTTTTCAATCAATATATTTGAACTTAATTTTTTTTTAAACTGAAAACTTAGATACCTGTTAGCCAGCTTTTTAGGAAATACTTTTCTTGTAATTGAGAAATTAAATTCTCTTTTCAATAATGCCCAAACAGTAATGCCAAATGACACAGAGATAATAAAATTCGATACATTTTTACCAAAATTTTATATTTCTTCGATCTTTCAAAAATTCAAGAGCATATTTTATCTTATAATCATTGTAAAAAATTTTAAATACCTGGAAGGTTTAAGGGTACACAAATTAAAGATTTGTTTTTGTGTGGTGGGCCTTCCCTAGTATTTGCTAGCAAACACATCCAATCAGCTTGGCAACCATTTGTTGTCCACATTTTGCCACCATTGATAATTAAATCACCTCCTCTTTGCACAGCAGTAGTTTTAATGCCTGTTTGATGATAAATTACAACACATATAAATTTTACTAATGCAGACACATACATATATATGCATTAAGAACTAAAAATTAAAACAAAATAAATTTTGTAGCTGATTAATTGAGGAAGAAACAAAACTTAATGCAAAAGTTTTTCATAAAATGAAAATGTAATCATTTGTGTTGAATAAAAGTAAGTAATAAAGAGATTTTTTTTAATAATTTCTAAGAAAACATGTCACTAAAATCCATATATATGTAAGAAAAATAAATATGTAGAAGATTAAATTAGCAACATAAATTCCCCTTCTCAATTCTAAAAACAGTAACCTCTCTCTGCAATGTGTCATTTCTAGATTAATCCATGACATATGACTCTTAGTAATTCTGTTGATATAAATGGAATTAAGGCTCAAGCAGCCAATAGTAATTTTACAGCAATATTAAGTATCCAATCAAAATGCATTGAGAACCAAAACTAACCCAGTCTGTATCAAGATTTAACTCTGAACATATACACTTGCTTTCTATGCTTTGGCCTAGCTGGACTGCTATCTGTCTGCTCCTTATTTCTTATTGCAAATTTATCTAAAATGTAAAAATTCTCGGTATAGGCACAATTAATGTGCCAACTTGATTGTGGCCACAACATGTTTGCTAAAGTAAAAAATGAAGATTTAATCTGCCTTCGTCTCCAATTTCCTATTCATTATAGATCAACACTTCTGTGCCTGCCATCAAAATTCTGCTCATCATTACTTCTAAGTTTGTTTTTATTACACACACACACACACACACATATATATACTATATATATATATATAATTTGAATTTAACAAACATTCATATTCATAAAAAGCAAATTTAAATTTAATTAAATCACATTTTACATTACTTAAAAGTTTACAGAATAGGTTTTTAATTAGATCTAACAGATAGCAGCTTAACACTCAACCTTCTATTACCGCCCTCTATTTATAAAGTTAGCAGAAATATATTACCTAACATCACTTAGTTTGGCAAATGCTGCTTCACTCTCCAAATACAAATATAGTTGGTAAGTTAAATTAAAACTTACTATTTACTTGCCTTTTTAGTATTTTTTAAGATAATATCTAGTTTTTTTTATTTATATGCATAATTTGTGTTGGGGAAGTTTTCTGCAGGCAAGAGTTTCTAAATTGCTTTGCTTTTCTAAAAAAATTGGTTTTATATTCTTAATTACCCCTTTTTTTTATTTTAATTCTAGTCACTTGCTATTTCTCAAATTTCCACTTGTTTAAATTTCTTTTTAGTAATTCACGGCATTTGTTTTTACTCTTGGTTTTGAATTTTAGTTTTACCCTTGCCTACATGGATGATGAAATGCAAATTGAATAATTGAAGAGATAGGTTTGGAGGCAACTTCCCCTTGATAAGTCTGTCTCCTACCTGCTCAACAATTATTCACTTATGCATTTTTATAATTTTTTGGATTAAAAATTTTTTTTTGAAATTATAGTATATTTGTTCATGGATTTTGATACTTGCACTTGATTTACATGTGCTCTCAGAATTTAAATGATATTGTAGATTAGTTCACAGCAATAATTAATCATTTATTTGTTTGCAATTCAATTTCATTAACTTTTAATTTGCTTTTTAACGAATAGAGAATGTTTGTTAAATTCAAATTTCATTCCTTGCAGCAATGGTGCAAGATAATTATTTGAATTTAATTTTACTATTTATACTAAAATAAATTATTAATTTAAGAAGGAGAACACACTAAAAAGACCTTTGTGGTCAAGAATTTTGCACATTGAGCTGCAAAAATTAGAAAACCAGGTAAAAAGAAAATTCTTAATGCTTCCACTTAAAAGTCATTGTGATACTGTGGTTCCAGTGAAAATTTTTTTAACATAAGTTAAAATTAAGTGCAATGAAAAATGTAAATACAAAATAAAAAAAAAATTATCACTAGAATACTTACATATAAAAAGCATATTTAAAACTCAAATCAAATTGGAAGTAATATGTTGATTAAAGTTAAAACAAGCTTTAAATATTTGAATAAAAACACAAATTGTTATATAAGACATAAACAAAAATACAAAAATTACAAAAAAGCGGTAAATTAGCCCAATTCGAATCTCATTATTGACTCTTCAGGGACAATACATAATGGTTTTAGAATCCAGCTAATTCCATATCGCGTTTTGTCAAAACAGAAAATTGGAACTGTACACGAAACTTTTTGAATATTTAACTGATAAAATAACCTAGATAAAAACTTTAGTCTCAATTTCTCTGTTTAATTTCCTGACGCTTCTGCTTGTAAAAGTAAAAACACATTAATGGTGTAAAAAAAAAACCTATACAAACTGGCCTGGTTAGGCAAATGAACAAAATAAAATAAACAGCGAATTGCTATTAGTCAAAAATACAAGATTTTTAGGGAGGACTTACTAGCTTAAAGAGTTTAAACTTTGTAAACTAAGGAAAAAAACTAAAAACTAAAATTAAAATAAAAAGCGAATAAAATTGGGTCTTGCTACGACCAAATATTAAAACAACGGAAAGAAAAAAAAAATAATAAAAATAATAAAAACAGACCTTGATCGGTGACATCTACTGTGAAGAGCCATGTTTACACAAATGGACGATTGCCTCCAGAAAAGATAAGAAAGTACTAACCAATGAGGCAGATGTTATATATATATATATATATAATAATAATAATAATAATAATAATTTATTTTCTATTCTCTATAGATTATTTAGTATATTATTTTCTTTGACAAATTAGAATTAGTAGTTAGAATTCTATTTAAATGAAAAAAGGAAATTTACATAATATACATTAAAGGCCAGATGATGACAGCACATAACGTTATTCTAGGATCTGCCATAAGTTATTTTCGTGCATGCTCATGAAATATCTGTCGCCAAAAAGCGGCCAAAGCTCGAAGCTGATGTCGAAGTTCGAACAGGTTTCGACGGTCACATTACATCTATGGAGCCTTTCCTTTCTTTACATAGACTTTCTTTGACTCAGCTAACACACGAAACGTGTCGGTATCGGTTGCTACTTTGTATAAACATGTCAGTATCGGTGCTTAAAACTATTTGTTTAAAAAAAAAAATACTCCTCTTGAAAATATGACTACAGGAAACAAGAGATTAAGCTATACAATTCAGTATAAACTAGGAATGTTAAACTATGCTAAAGTGCTTGGAAACAGAGCAGCAGCAAGGCATTTTGGTGCACCACCTACTGAAAAAATGATACATACTTGGCGACTGCAGGAAGATCAACTGAAGACTGCCAAAAAACAAAAGCATAACCTTCGATGCCCAGCTCCATCTTGGCCTGAACTTGAAAATGCCGTAAAAATGTGGGTGATAGATAAGAGGAAATCTGGGATGTTTCAACCAAAATGATAATCAATGAGGCCAAAGGATTTGCAGAAAAACATGGGAATCAGAACTTTTCAGGGTCTGAGGGCTGGTGCTATAGGTTAAAAGACAAGACTTATCAATGTGCACAAAAACAACTATTGCACAGAAAATGCCAGCAGATTATGAAGAAAAATACTAGCATTTCATAGGTTTGTTACAAATGCACTCAAGAAAACTTCTTTTGAGCTCGGTTAAATAGGAAATATGGATGAAATTCCATTCACATTTGATGTACCATCCAACAAGATTGTGAGTATTAAAGGGTCTAAATCAATAACCATAAAAACCACAGGTCATGAAAAAACCCGACATACTGTAGTTCAAACATGTTGTGCTGATGGCACAAAACTCCCACCATTTTTCATATTCAAAAGAAAAACTCACCCGAAAAAAAAAAACTTCCAACAGGTGTAATTGTTCATGTTCATCCGAAAGGCTGGATGGACGAAGCTGGAATGAAACTGTGGTTACAGAACGTATGGGCGAGGCGACCTGGTGGACTAAACCCTCTTTTTTGGTTTTGGATCAGTTTAGTGCCCATAGAACTGAAACCATAAAGAATAAAGTGAGAGAAATAAAAACCCAGATAGCTGTCATTTCTGGTGGATTGACTAGCCAATAGCAGCCTTTAGATGTATCGGTGAATAAGCCATTTAAGGAAAAAGTGCGAGAACGATGGAACAAGTGGATAGGAGAGCTACATCATGCCCTCACACCCTCAGAATGAAGAATAGCGGAATGAAGAATAGTAGAATGAAGCGGCTCTCTATTTCACAAGTGTGCAAGTGGGTAAAAAGATCTTGGGAGGACGTAAAGGCTGAAGTAATTGTTAAGTCCTTTAAGAAATGAGTAATCAGTAATGCTCTTGATGGAACAGAAGACGACGCATTATTCGAAGAAGGTGATACTATCGATGACGGAAACAGTAGTGATGACAATATTCTCGTTTTCGATGATGATGATAGAGAAAAGGATTTTTATGGTTTTGAAAGTGATTAAAGTCTAATTTCATGATAGGCAACATTTTCCTTGAATCTGTGTTTTTTGTTGTTTCTGCTTTATTTTGTATTATGTTTGATTGCTTGCCATTCATTCATTTATTCATTATTGAAATTTACATATCATGTTCAAAAAAGCTTGCCGTTTGTTAATTTTCCTTAATAAAAATATGTTTGGTAATTTTATTTAATGATTGTTTATTTGGCTTTTACGAAACGTGATAACTAAAAGAAACTACATTTTAAGTTATTGTGATACCGGGCTGTCGCACGGACTATTGAAACTTTTTTTCCTTGTGTGTTGCGCTCTAAATAAGGGTGCGTCTTATATGCCGTCAAATACGGTAATTAGTTTACTTAAATTTTATATACATTATATATATTATATTAGTTTACTTAATCTTACATATATATCATTGTCTTATTTCAAACCTCTCACATTAGCCAAAGCAGAACATTGTTTTAGATACTGGAGAAAGCTAACAGAAGTAGCCTACTGGATACAATGAGCTCTTTTTCTCTCCTGTACAATTTCCTATATCTACCTAACCTCTGGTAACTCAATTTAATAAATCATCATCACTGCCATAACATAACACTGATTAAGATCATGTATTATATTCTGCCTTCCAAATTTTGAATTGCTGTGAAATTGAACTGCACAGGTTACACATATTTGTTTTTGCTCCCTATTAATTAGTAATAAAGTAACTATAAATGTAAAACTGATATATTCATGCTATCATTTCAGAAAAGCTAGTTTTATCTGATAAAATTCATATTAATGTTACACATAAACTAAAATAAAAGTTAAGTCCCATTAAACTGGTAAATTTAATTAAAATTTGTCATTTGGATAGTGGCTAAAACAAAAGATAGAGAATTATTCCTTTTTTAACAGTGTGTGTTGACAGCTTTTTTAGTTTAACCTTTCTCCTCCCCCCATACTCATGTGTATAATATTCACAATAAAATTATCTGAAAAAGGAACTATTAAGTATATTATGTAATAATTTATAAATGCGATTTTAGCTCACAATATTTCACATTATTTTATATAGCATTTTAATGCTTAAAAAAAAAAAAAAAAAAAAAAAAAAAAACAGTGTCAGCATCAATCAAGCCTCTTTTTATTATTAATTCCAATAGCCTATGTTCCTATTCAATTTAATTTGTCTTTGTAATTAACAAATAATTTGTATATTTTTAAATACAAGAGCATAATATATGTACCGACAATAGCATCAACATTTTAAGCTTAAAAAAAGGGGGTGGTACAAACACTTATTCATTATGTACAGTAGCAAACAGTATTTGATTTTTCACTGATGATTGAAATGTTAATTCAATGACCCGCAAAAAATTTTATGTATGTTATCATACCTGAAACATCGGACCCATGATCAGGCTCACTAATTCCAATGCAAGACACTTTATCGCCAGTAATAGATGGTACAAGAAACTCTTGCTTCAGTTTTTCACTTCCAAAACTATCAAATTAATATAAACCAAAAATATAACTTAAAAGGTTAAAAAAAAAAGCTAAAAGAACCCTAATGTGAAAATAAATAAATCCTAAAAATTTCTTAAAAAATGAAAGAATTTTTAAAAAAATTAATCACGATTATAACTTAAAGTAAAGCCAAAGTAATCTCAATGGTTCCTTAAATGAATTAACCCACTTGTACACTATCTGCTATTTAGGACAGTAGATTTTATTTCGGTAAAACATTGTTATAAAAGCATTCTAAAGAGGAAAAAATCAATTAGATGCCAAAAGAACAATTACTAGAGTTCTAAGGTCACTTATTTCCTTCTTTAGTAGCTAATGCTTTCTTGCTGCAGTAAAGAACAATGAAATATTTTTAACGTGTCTTTCATTTATATTTTATAATTACAAAAAAAACTTTTTTAAAACCAAAATATAAACATACATAGTGTTTTTGAGCATTAAGCTGCTAAAAAATTATCAGTAAAGACATAAAGTAAGAAATTTAGAACTAATTTTTCACAAAGACCAAAAATTGAAATTCATAATTAATAAATTTTAAATAATTCTATAAATGCAACAAAGAATTTTAAAAATATTAAAACCAAAACTTTTAAACAAGCAATACCTCAATTAAAAAAAAATTAATCAAAAAAGAACATAACAGAAGAGGTATCCAATCAACTTCAATGTCACTTCGTCCGAGGGGAGGGGAAGGAACACTGAAATCAATTCAGGAATTTTGAAGAAGAGAGATTTCAATTTGATACATGTATTTTAAAATACTTTTCCACAATTTTTTAATCAACTACAAAGGAAAAAAAAATCATCAAAACACTGATGAACTCATCCCACTGTGTAAGGATTTGAACATAGGATACATCAAACAATGTTCAGAAGACTTAGCCATTTAACCTATAGTGTGCAGGTTACTTTTCATTATTATAATCTATTGTTACAAATTTTGTATTTAGTTAGACATTTTTAGTAGAATTACAATTAAAAATGTTTTATTTCGCCATGCAATGCAGTGCATGACAAATTTTAAGAAAAAGCTATGTCAGAAAAGTAAAAATACAAGAGCACATGCATTTAACATTGAATAAAAGTTTATTTCTGTAATTGATATTTAATTTGAATAAATGTAATTGACTACTATGTTAGCTGTAACTGTAATTCTACTCTTTGCTTTCTAAAAATAGCTAGAACTGTCTCGCTCGGTTAATTTAAAAGGCTATAAAAGCCAGAGGGAAACAACTCAGCTCAGTTGTTTAAATAACTGTTGTTGTTGATTGTAGCGAATTCGCGGTGAGATCGGATTAGCTTTCTCGGCGCTTTGGACTGTGTTCTATTTAATGTTTTAGTAGTTTAAAATATAACTACTGTGTGATATTGTACAAATATATTTGAAGAAAAATCCAGCATTTTGTTACATTTCTTGTGATAAGAATAAATTTTATTAACTTTTTATCGGACTTGTGCATTCAATCTATTATGAACCCATACGCACGCAACACTATGATATCAACAAAGACAACAGCATCCTTATTTTTAGTATGAACATTTATTTTAGTATTTTAACATTTTCAATGTTAATAAATACAATTCATTGTGATGCATTAATAAATGTTATAAATAAAAACTTTCAAAGCTTTGACATTATATATTATGTGTGGAAAATATGTATATAGGGAGTATTTAATTGTAGAATTTTGCAAAATTTTTACTTCATTTATGGACAAACAAAACAAATTTACCTGGTTAGAGCTGGTGTAGTACAATCAGTATGAACAACAATGGCCATTGGTACACCTCCACAATTTATTTTTGCAAGTTCCTCAAAAAAGGCTAGACTGAATGTATAATCTAATCCAAGACCACCATAAGCTACAAGAAATAATCACTATTATTATTTATGGCATGACATTACAAAGGATAAAAAACCCAAAAATTGTTAAGAGCTAATATCAGATTACATAACACTTTCTAATTATCTTCACCTCCATGAAACATTGGCAACTTTGTGAACTGGCAAAAAATGTTTTTGTGTTTTTGATGTCTCAAAAAGAGCAAATTAAAATATATATTAGATTTACATATAATTGTATTCATACACCTCAAATTAAGCCAAAGTGTTAAATTTTGTAAAAATTGTAACAGCACTTTTTTCCTCCCTTAACTTGGCATTCAGAATTTGAACCCCAAAATGTTAAATGAATTTGGCATATAGTTAATTAGCACTAAATTAAAGTTACTTGATTTATTCTTTCATAATTCGAAATTTAATCATACTAACACTTATATATAGCTTTTGTTTCATTTTAAAAATTCATATTTTAAAATAATTTTTATAAATTGTTTGAAAAAATTATCAATTATAAGCTATAACATTATTACTATTATCTTAGAGTAGATATATTTTTAGACATACATGGAAAAAATTGAGTGTTTTTTAATTCAAATTTTCCAAAGATATACAGGAATGTATATATTGCAGCATTTTGAAATTTGTATATTTGTTATAAGTGATAATAACAGAATCTTCAATGAATACAACAGTTAATTTTAACCTTAAATTTCCAAATAAGCTTTTAATGATGATTTTTCGTATGGAATTTCTTTATTCACATTTTTATTAATAATGCACAATAAATATTCTTAATAATATATGAAAAGCTATATTTTAAATTTATAAAAATATTAATAAAAATTTTAAGCAAATTTTTTTCCTTTGCCATTTTACTTTACTTCATTTTATATGCAACAAAATTTAAGGGCACATTACGAAAGCACATCACATATGTATTTAATACTTCAAACAATATGTCAAAAATACTGTAAATAAATCAGCTGTCTTTTATTACAGAAATGTTTAACAAAGGCAAAATTTACTAGTATATAAGTATTTTTGTTCCCCTGGGTGTCGCAAATGCAACAAATAAAAAATGTTCTAAAGATGTCCAAAAATATTCTGTGGGATTAATTGCATAGTATATTTTTAAACAACCCTTTTTTTTAGATTTGAAATGCTACTAATATTATCATCAAAAACCCTCTTTTTTTAAAAGTCAAATTATGATATGAACATTTAATCCTACACTGAATGAATTAGTCAAATTACAGAAGTTCAAAGCATATGTAGAAATCATACACAGCTATTTTTGGTTCAATAAATAACGAGACATGATTTTTATTAAATAAATCTAGGAAGACAATTTTAAAATGCATTTTCCTGTGCAGCATATTTTTATTGCATGCTTAAAATGCTAATTTATAATGTCTTTGTCAAGACCTGAATTCTAATCATTAGTATAATAATTGATTATTAATGTTACATTTATTTTCACATTATTATTATTATTCCTGTTACACTTACTGCACATTAGAATTTATTCAATTCTTTTTGTAAATTAATTTCAAAAATTTTAAAAGTTGTCTTTTTCTGTACTTTAACATCAGTACTTCTACTCCTTCCATCGATTTCACACACACACACACAAAAAAAGTAAATTTAATTTAGATAACAAATAACTAAGTTTAGAAAGTGAATACTGGCAATTCAACCACTGATGCTCTATCTCTCATATACCTCCTGACTGGATAACTAAACTGATTTTCCGTAGGTTTCTGGTTTTGCTAGTTCAGAAAACTGGGTTTAGAAATCATACAATTATTAAGTAGGTTGGTAATTTAAATATGTTAAAGTATACAGTGACTATCTGCCTAATGGGAAAAACACTTGTATGGAGGTTTTTTAAGTGGCTCATATTCAAAATTCATGCGGTAAAGCATGAAAACTAACCATAGAGCATTTCATTTGCTTGAATTGAACTCAGTGAGAAATTACTACCTATTCAGCAGTCTTTAACCACTCAGCCACTTTGGATTATGGGCCAGCCACTTTGAATTATGGGCCAGGTTATTAGTTTCTAGTTTACTGTTTGGTTATATTCTCAGGCACAAATGTAGTGTTTAAGATTTAAAGATTTAGTTTTTAAACTACCAAGCTGTAGCCCAAATGAACATTCAGTTACATTTGTTGTGATTATATTCACTTAATGTTCTTTGAATCTAAAACAAAGATGAAGCAATTATCTTCCAGCATTATTCAGCCTGGAAAAATTAAACAGCAGTTCATACTAAGTGATATTAGGTTTATCTTACAAGCTGAAGTGTCAAAATAATTCTATAGTTTTAAATGTTTGTCTGAATACTCTACTTTAAATGATTGAGAATTAAGCAGATGATTTTTAATCTTATGTTATTTAGTTGGAAACTGTTATTCCAATGTGATGTATTGCATACTAATGCATCTTTCCACCAATCAACAACTACTTCACATAGCTACTGAGTTCCGAAAATAACTTTACATACTCAGTCATCCCACAAGCTCTTCAGATTTGTTTGTTTGCAATTAATTCTGTTTCCAAAAACTAAAGTGTTTTTTCAAAGGAAAATGTTTTCTGACATGAAAGAGATAAAAGAAATGTTGCATTCTACTCTTAGAGCCCAGCCAAAAACAGGCCTCTATCAGTCTTCTTTTAATTAGATATCATACTTCCATTAATAAGGCAAGAATTTACATCAATATAAACTCTGCAATATTTCTATTTTTTTTTTAATATACTCTGATTATTTAAGTGCCATAATGTGAATACACTAAAACTTTGATTACTTGAACTTCAGCTAGTCGAAATTTTTGACGGAATGTTTGTCGGAACTAGGAATTTGAATGTAAATCAAGTGAATATTAATATATACTGTTCAAAAGTGATACTAATTCAAAATCAGATTTTTAATATCTGCTTGAGGGGTATGGTCCTTCGGTTTTGGCTTATTGAAACTTCATCTTACTGTTACATATAATGTAAAAATTTGCTCTTTAATGTGTCAGTTATTATCTTAAAAATTGTCAAAATTACATGATTTAGAATACTTGCACCCAATATTAAGATTAGATTACTCACAAATAAATGAAATAAAATTCTAAAAAGAAAAATCTAAAAATAGCACTTTTGATTAAAAAATATAATATAAAGTACAAATATTTGGGTATTTATGTATTGTAACATCGACTGTGAAATGTCATCAAGTAGTGCAATTTAGCACTAGTTATGGATAAATATGACGTAACAAGACACTCATAACATCTGCCCTTTTGTTTGATGTAACCATGATTGATTCTGTATAAGACACCTTTTGGTTTTATGAATCAGGATGAAGATTACGTGTTATTTATGTATATTTCCCCCCTTTTTTTTAAGTAACAATGTGACAAAAATACCATATGGTCAGCTGAATATGGCCAATGAAACAGTAATGCATAGCTGTCAATTTTGAAATCTGAAAAGCCAGAAGATTTTTTTGAGAAAACCAATAAATTTTCATGTCGTGCGGTGATGACACTTCAGAGGAGCTCCAACTGAAAGTCACTTTATAACTCATGAATAAGTTATCGAGCTATTTGTAATACAATTCTGATATAAAAAATATTAGTATTTAATTCAATGTTCCAAATTTTATGCTCTTTGGCTAATGTTATTTTGTAATTTTCTTACACTTTTATTTCGAGAAAATCCTGAATAAGAAAAGTTTTTATTTATCAAAATATAAATATGATAAACATTAAATTTTTAAATATGATAAACATTAAATTAATAATTAATGTACATAATATTTATCTGTGTAATCTTAGTAGTGTACTATATAATGAAGTAAAATAAATACAAATATTAACAAAACACTAGTTGAATCTTCATATAAAAATCCACAAATGTCTGCAGCAAATTTAATAGGAAAAAGGTCAATAAAATGTAACATGAAAATATCCAGTTCAGATAAAATAAAATGCAACAAGAAGAAATATTCTGAAAATCTGGAGGAACAGAATTTGCAAGTTCCAGTCATTCAAAAAATTTCACTTGTTGCTGGAAAAAAAATTTCTACCTAAGGGCTAAAAATAAAAAAAAAAAACAGGGAGATTCAGTGATCTACCAGGAAGACCTGGAGGCGTGAAGAGAAACTGGGGGTCTCCTGATGAAACTAGACGTGTCAGCAGTTCTGGTTGGTTAAACACTGGAAGAGTTGCCTTCAGTAAGTTTGTACTCATGCATTCGAAACAAAATTTTCAGTAAAACTGGAGAGCCTAGAAAAATAGTAGAAATCAATGGAAACCTTTTTATGATGCATAAAAACGAAGTGGGTAAAGTACTGATTGTTATTAAATGAAGGTGTTTCATTTCCTTTAGAATTAAGCACAACAGTTAGTACAACTTTGGCGAGATCTCCACCAACTTTCACGGTTAAAAGGATAATATATATGTACTACGTTTGGCCTGAATTACATAAACCAAACGGCATAGTCAAAAACTCAAAAAGACCAAAAGGGGTAGTGACGGCCGTTTTCAGAATGTCTGCAGGGTTAACAGGGATTTGATGATAGGCACGGGCTAAATAAAGAGTTGAGAATATTTTCTTTCCTGGAAACATTTGAGTGCAATCCTGAATATGGGGTACGTACGGGATAACAATCCGGGATGGTAACTGCGTTTAAGCGACGATAATCCTCGGATGGTCACCATTTGCTTTACGAACCATATGTAAGGGACTTGCCCAAGGACTTTTTGAAGGCTGAATGATGCCTTTTGATATGAGAAAGTCAAACTCTTGGCGTGTAATGTGAAGTACTTCTGGAGATATTCTTCTAGGTTTTGAGAAAATATGGGGTCCTTTAGTTTCAATGTGATGGAAAATTGTTGACATTGGTGCCCTCTCAAAAGTTTGTGAAGGATTTGTCAAGCTGGGGTAATCGGCAAGAATTTTGTCAAATTTTGAGTTACCCATCAAAATATGAATGCTAGTACTGAGCGGGTTCACTTTGGGAAGTCTACCACAAGAATATAGTTTTGTTTGTCCATCAATTAAATGGTTGTTTTTAACATCTGTAAGTAAGTTGAACTTCGTGAGAAAGTCAACACCTATGATGGGTTGATTGACATCTGCCAGAACAAAAGGCCAAGTAAATGAGCAACGTAAGTTTAAATTGATGGTCAAGAGTCTGGTGCCATACGTTGCTATTTTGGTGCCGTTAGCAGCAAAGAGTACTAAGTCAGCTGGGTTTTTGGCATACTGACTGTACCTCTTGGGAATGACAGATAAATTGGCTCCAGGGTCAATTAAAAAGGTGAGTTTTGATGATGGATAGGCCAAAAGAATTCGATTGATGAGGGGGTGCAACGTTGGCCGACAAGTGATCGCCGATCTAGTTTTCCGACTGCCAGAAATTGCATGGAAAAACACACTTCCATGCATTGGAACCAAAATTAGTATGGTAGAAACAAATGTTGTTACATGGTTCTTTATACTGGCGGGGCTTAGCATCCATTGGATCTATTACGCCTTCTGTTGCGTGGGAAAGTTGGGAATGATTGTCTCTTCGTTCACAGGAACGCTCACGGCTGTTTTTGATGGCTAGCGAAAGTTCATTTACTTGCTTTGTCAGCTCTGCAACTTGCTGTTCAATGGGAGAAATAGATGCCGTAGCAGCACTATTTATGTTAGGAAGAGTTGTGAGATCTGTAATTTTATCAGCTACAACTACGAGTTTCGGGAGATCATCACTTAAGGCAGCAAGAATACTTTGTGTATTTTGTGGGAGATGGGATATCTATAGAGATTTCAGCAAGGGTTCTCAAACGGTCTCTCCAGTGAGGTTTTGCATACGACAAAGTAATTGGGAAGGGCGTTGATCGCCAGGTTCTAGCCCCTGAAGAATCGTACGGATCTTTGACTCCTCACTTTTTTAGAATGCAATTCAATTAAGCATGTTTTTAGTGCATCGTATTTGCCAGTCACTGGTGGGTGCAAAACGATATTACAAATGCTATTGAGAATATCGGATTCGATTGCAGATATCACATTGAATTTCGTGGAGTCAACAGTGATTTCTGGCGATATCAAACTGGACCTCCAGTTGTGCAAACCATAAAGTGGGATTGACCTTCCAAAATGGGGGAGGCTTGACGGAAACATGTGAAATATTAAGATTGTCTGTGATGGTTTGTGGTGGAGCCATGATTCACAAAAACATACATATAGATTGCCAAATGTGAGATAAATAAATAAACAAAAATCAGTCACTAATAAGTTCACATACGATACTAGTGCAAAAAAAATAAAGTTAATGCAAGCATTAAAGCAAGAAAAACAGTTTTCGTAGGTGTGCTATCCGGATATAAGCATAAGTTTTACAGTACTACCACTTACGAATTTGTGTGGCTTATCTCCAAATTGTATGAGAAATATTTGCTCAGTCAGCGGCAGATTCAGCATAACACAATTCACTTATAGAAAAATTTCCAAAAAACTCATTTGTGATATATACCACGTTGTAGGATATATATGTAAATCACTTCTAAGCTGCATGAGGCACGTTCTTAAGGAGTCACAACTGATTTTCACACTATTTTGAGGATAACAGAAAAATAATGATGGATTATGATATTCGTTTGTGTTAACAGATGATATTTTCACTTCACAGCACTTTATGAGCACAGAAATTGACAATGCAAGCAGCTTCCAGAAGGCATGTGTTCATTAACTAGAGAGGCCACCATTTATGGCTTTCGTCTATGGATGCCATTTTTGTTGGCGTGTGTTGTTGCTGTAGATATAATGATGGTAGCTTGGCTCGGTAATATTAATATTTTTATTTAATACTAGAAAAAGGTATCTATTTTAACACACATTCACTGATACACAGTCACAATGATTACAGTTCATATGATAAGCATTTTTATAGTTAGCAAGTCCACATAGGAGAAAAATCATGAAAATGAAGCAGAAGAGAGGTGAGTGCGTGCTTCACCGACGACAGCCAGGAACAGAGTAACCAATCCGAATTTTCCCCTAGTGGAGAAGAGGGAGAAAGCTGGTAGTGCCCTCGCTTGGGCCAGTGGACAAATAATAATAATAATAATAAAGAGTTTTCCACAGAAGTATAATAGTAAATAATTATCTAAGACTTTATTGTTTTAATTTAGATGAAAGGTTAATTTCATATAATACTTTTTTATAATAATTTATATAAAAAAGGCTAAACATATCGGAATGGAAGCATAAGAGTAAAAAACTATTTCAGATCATTGTTATAATTTATAAAAAAAAAGGCTCAACATAACTGAATGGATACCTGCATTGCTATTTCGCTACCAAGTTATTGCTAAAGCATAATTTCATCTCGTTGGTTGTTCAAACATAATTTTCTGTAATGAATGATGCCTTTTCTTTGAAAAAATTCTATTGCAGACTTTTCGTCATGGGCAATTCCCAAATTGTTAAATGCATAGGATGTCAAAAAAGGATTTAAAAATTAAACTAGTATTTCAATAGCATCTTAAGAAATATAGAACTATCTAAATTTACGCAATTTGAAATCAGCACGTATGCTAGATTTAAAGACAAACAATTGCACAAACTCGGGATCCTTGTACACATCGACTTATTTTCACTTAAACCCCCCCCCCCCCGAATTGCACAAAAGTGGCATTGCACACTCCTTTGACTTTATCCATGTATATGTCGACCTATTTTCACTTAAAAAAAAAATCTTCGAATTACACAAAAATGGCATTGCGCACTCTTTTAACTTTATCCATGTACATGTCGACCTATTTTCACTTAAAAAAATCCCAGAATTGAACAAACTTGCATTGCGCACTCCCTTTACTTTGTCCATGTACACATCGATATATTTTCACTTAAAAAGTCAAAGAAGTACCAAATTCTACAATATACACAAACAAAAAATACATAATCTCAATAAAATACATTTTAAATCAAACAATAAAATAACATAAAAAAGGAAAAGCATGTTATACATTTAAGCACTACCAAAAGCAAATATTCACTTACCATGATTTTCGAGTTCTCTTCGTACACCCAGAGCCACGTAAAAATCAAAATATCAATCATACTCAAATGACTTTTTTCAAACCAGGTACTCTTTCTGATTGAACGCTTCACATAGTGACCATCTGAACCTTTCTTCCTACAAACCCATTCAAATCCATCTAAACGGTTTTAACATACACCACAAAAACGCTTACAAAACATCCCATGATTCAAAATTTCTCAGAATCATGCACCCGATTATGTCACAATAGGGTTTCCATAACATTCAACTACTCAGGCTACCATAAATGAAACAACAACTTGGCGATAAATCAAACAACAACTTCGCCATAATACAAGGGGTACCTTAAAGTCTACTCTACCCGAATTGCTTAACTGGAGGATGGAGAAGATGGTGGTGGGAAGTCTGAATGTATGCACGTGAAGATAAGGTATGTTAAAAATTGATGTTTCATTTATTTATTCATCTCTGTGTGTTAAATGTTTATTAAAAGATTTGTTGTTTAATGTTTTTATGTTAGGAAATATGTATTTTTGGTTATTTATTCCTCTCTGTTTGTGTATTTTTGGTTATTTGTTCGTCTCTGTGTGTTAAGACTGTTTTTCCTGGTTACCATGATAGTTTTAACTTTGTTTTAGCTTCCTGATATTGCTTAAGTGAAAATAGATCAATGTTTACATGGGCAAATTTAAGGCAATGCCTAGTTTTTGCAATTCTCTGTTTTTTTTTTTTTAAATGAAATTAGGTCGACGTGTACATGGAGACTGAGTTTGTATATGTCTTTGACTTCTTATTTTGGTTTTGTGTAGCGGCTATCTTGAAATTGCTGCCAATCCTTCCTGGCATCAAAAAAGAAACGATTCACCAAGGGGTACCATAGACTAAATTTTTACTAAAGTTTTATTACTTCCTTTATTTAAAATACTAAACATTCCTATTATAATATATAATAATTTTATATAAAAATGCATATAGATTAATTACAAGGATGGATCAATTATGCAATGCATTAATTACAAGTTGAATTATTACTTTTTATTTTAAGATTTTGAGTGCGATAACAGGGAAATATATAATTAATACTATATATTTGGACATATCTCAAGAATATATGAATATTTCATAATTATTTTACTTCATGCAAAACAAGTGTAAACATAAATAGAAATTTAAAAAACTCTATATTTATGTATACGTTGTTAATTGTACTTGTTGCTGTAAAGGCAAAATTTAAGCAAAAATTATCCCCTTTTTCATGATTTTTTGAAATTAAAATTACTTAGCATTACTTTTAAACTGTTTTCACTAATTCATACCTTTAGAGTTAAAATAAAAACTATTTTTTTTAAAAAAGGTACCCGAATGCAGTTGGATATCTTAAATTCACATATAATAAATAAATTAATAATTCACATATATTAAATAATTTAAATTACAAATTAAAATTAAATGGCCTTATCCAAAAGACAGACCAAATTTCTATGCACAATTCTATTTTTTAGTTTCAGGATTCACAAATTAAAGAGTGATTCCAAGTACTTAATAAAAGTATGCTGTGGTTACCATCTTTTTTAACAATCAATATTCATACAAAATATTATTTTTTTTATAAATCTGATAATTTACAATCTAACGACCTTACACAATCAGATACATACAAATAATCAAAATATATTCTCTACACCATTAAAACTGTAATACTTAAAAGAAAAGAATTTCCTATAAAAGTCATAAGGTGGGATTAAAACTGAAAAAGCAGAAATGATAACTTTTATAAACATGAGAAATTCATTTGAGATGAATAGCAGATTGTATGAATATACAAAAATAAATTAGGTTATTATATTTTCAATGGCATGAAATTAATAATAATAAAATATTAAAAAAATTATGAGCTGTCAATTTACTTACCAACTGGACGTGTGATACCAAGTAAACCAGCATTCCAAGTTTTTAAATAATTCATGAGCTGGAAATGCTTCTTTCTCTTCCCATTCATTCACAAATGGATTTATTTCATTTTCAATAATCTAAAAATAAAACTTATATAAATTAAACCAAAAATAATCAAAATAAAATTTTTTTAATTAAAAGTATTACTTTTTTATTATAGTCCAAAGTCGTTAATTCGGACACCCATAACCCGGAATGATCTATAATCCGGACCTCAAAGCTAAAATCTTTCTGCGCATGCGCCGCGTTGACGCATGCGCATAGGCGTTTACGCGTGCGCGCAAGACCTTTACGACTTGCATATGCGTCTGCGCAAGCGTAGAATACGTTTTCGCGTCCGCGTTTAATAACGGACGGTATAAGCTAAAATTATCTAATTATCTATTACAGTTAATGTTGATGATTGCGTTGTTCCTTAATCTTCGAATTGGATCCGGCTTATTATTTTTTGCAGACTGTAAGAGCAATTTTATAAAAGTAAGCTTGAACTTTCAATTATGTCAAATAGAATTTCCGATGTTGGAGCTCCCAAAGGATCTACAAAACGAAAGTATGTTTCGATGTCCATCAAACAAAAAGTGGAATTGCTACAAAAAATGGATACAAAAATGGAAGGGAGAATGCTCTAGGGAGAACGGTTAGATAAACAAAGGCATATCCTTTGTTTATCTAACCCTTCCGAAATCTGTTTATCAATTTCACGCTGCTCTGCGCAGGGGGGGGGGGGGAAGACGTCGCGGCGAGCAATGAACTGGAAGTTGATCTGTCAGCACTATCGTTATCTTCAGGGCAGATGTTTTTATTTTAGTCGGCTTATAATTCCTTACTAAATGTTGTATTTCATCTCGATCTACTCCGTCTTTGATATGATTTAAATCAAATTCCTCGTCATTATAAATATCACGAATACAAATCAAATAGTTTTCTGGTTGCAATTTTCTAATTTCGACTATGCTTAATGTATGCTTTACACATGCGTTTAGATAGTTAGTTAGTTACGCATGCGAAAGAAATGTTTAATAAAGTAAACAAATAAATATTAAGCTTCTTTTTTTGTAAATTTTGATACCCTTTAGATCATAATTCCTCATTATTTTATAAATTACGGTTTCATATTTTTAATTTTATAATTTCTGCATGCGATCTTACCAGATTTGAACTGATGATCTATAATCCGGAAAAATCAATAATCCAGAATCGCCGAAGTCCCGACGAGTCCGGATTAAAGACTTTTGACTGTATTGCATTCTGTATCATTGGGAAAAGATGTGCTCATTACACTAAATTTGCTTGTATTCTCTATGGTTCAAATGCAACATCTGTGTTTAACATCCTATTATCCAAAGCATTATATCCTGAACATATAAATGCTGTGCTTATATGGAAACAGTGATAGGATGACAATTTGCATCTTGTGCACTTGCAATGCTTTTCACGCATGTCTAGATATAGTTGCACTCACATTATCATGTCTTAAAATTTATCATAATTTATGCCACTTTATGATTATCCAAACCCCTATTGAAGTCATAAACTTGTTGGTGTTTTTAGAGAAAAATGTTTGTTTGGGTATCTTTACATTCACTTCAAGAATACATCTAGTGCTGCCTATTTTTTTCCATGTTTCTTTTCTATAGAAAAATGTTCTCCCCATGTATAGAAAAGTACCAAAAAAAAAAAAAAAAAAAATGCATTCTTAATAGAATAAAATAAAGATTATCTGAAAGTGGTGACTAAATAAATGCATAATTTTAGTTATAGTAAAGATTGAAATCATAAAAATTGGTTAATTAACATAAAATACTTTATAACAATAAAAAAATGCACTTGATGAAAAAAAAAACTAATCAGAAAAATGACCATTAAATTTGGAGAGCTGCATGTACACTTATGATGCCACATAAATACATTTTGGCAACATCATGAGTTGCCACCTAACTATTTTAGTGACATGGGACATTTTTTTGGAGGCCAGGGGTGCAGATACTTAAAAAAAAAAAAAAAAAAAAAAAAAAAAATTTCTGACATACCAGTAACTTGAGCTTTCTGGTTAGATTCATGCCATCTAGTCATGCTTTTACTGTACTTTACTGTGCATTTGGCATTCAGAAAACAATGGAGTTATCCAATTTTGCAAGCCTACAGATAGACAGATATAGATTTTTTTTTTTTTTTAAAGCTTTATAAAAATGTGCAAGTTTATTTTGAGAATAGGAAAAATGTCTGCAGCTTTCCAAAAATATACAGGAGAAAATGTATGTGCCAAACTCTAGTAACAATGCTCATAGTTGAGCAATGCTGCCATTTTAGTATGTTTTCTTTTTGTTGTATTTCAAGTTCTAGTTTTATGACAGTTTTTGAGACAGAGTGTGATATTTTTTTGCCTTCAATTCAATTTTAAAATACCACTTGTGGAATTTACCAGCATTGGAAGAAACTGCGACAAAAGTTTTGCAGGAATACAATATTTTCCCACAAAATTGCTAAAGGAAACAATGATGGATGTATTTGATAGATAGCCAGAATGCAGTGTGACTCTCTGTTTTTATTAAGCAAAATAGATTGCTTTATAAATGGAAAAATTCGATGTTCCAGGCACACACCCAGTTTGTGAAGAGGGTGAATTTTCTTGCAATACTGGAGCACACTGCTTAAGCTGTACATCAGCTTCTCCCATCTCTCCATAACAAGCACTTGCAGATGGTTCAACACTTGATGCCCGCAACACTGGCATAACTTCACTATCAGTTTCGATGACCTTAACAGTCGCATTTTCACTTTCTTCCACTTCAGGGACTTGCAAATCAAAAGCTTCTTTCCTGTCTTTTATTTTTTCATGTTTTTGTTCTTTTTCTTTAATCTCATAAGATGCTTAATCCATCATTTCTTGATCTTTCTCAAACTGTTTGTTAGCTACTACCTTCATTTCTTCATCCTTGGATTCTCCAGATGCCACTACTGTCACTTTCACATCTTCTATTCTGGCTCCAGTTTCTTCTGCAAGCTCCACTTTCATCTGTTGGAGTTGCTTTCTCACTTTTTCTTAGCCAACATTTACTTCCTCTTGTCTAGCGTTCTCTTCCAGTGTGGCTTTCATCTCCTTCAGTCCGGCTTTGATCTCCTCCTGCCTGGCTTTCATCTCAGCTAAAAAGTCCATCAAAGTCTTTGTTTTCTCCACCATGGCTTCCTCTGCAGGCGGGTCACTGGCATTCACTCAAAAATCCCACTCCTGACACCAGTTGTTGCATAATTTTTCTTTCTTTGGTATGTTCATTACGGGGTTCGTGCAGATTTGGAGTGAATAATGACAACAACACTTGATGAAGTATTGAAACACACTTTATTGGACAATATTCTTCAAGACAGCTCCAACATCATGTTTACAAGTTGTCGAAGAACAACTATAAACACGCTGACACAATCAGTGACAGAGCCTTCACACTATCAGGCTATAACAGTGGAGACAGCTTTACTGCAAAGCACCAGAGTACAGCTCCCGACTCTGCTCCGTCGTTCTCAGAACTCCACGTACTCTCGACTGTACACTAGAGTACAGATTAGGAATGAATAATGGCAATAGCACTTAATGGAGTATTGAAACACACTTTATTGGACAATATTCTTCAAGATAGAACAACTATAAACACGCTGACACAGTGACAAAGCCTTCACACTATCAGGCCATATCAGAAGTTTCTCCATCCGTCTATGGTATATCGCCAATTTTGTTGCCAAATGTAAACCTGCCTTCACTTGCCATTTTCTGGCAACCCTAAACCTGCTTTGCGGGGAAGCTATCTTACCGTATCTGTACATTTCATAACAATACTTTCAAGTAGGTGTGAGCTAAGAAAAAAAGAATGCCTTACTGTTATTTTGTTTTTCCTAAATGTTGGTTGAGGAAAAGACAAAGTTTACCATTTGTCTTCTTGGTTTCATCCCAGTTTTGCACATCTTCTCTCTACAGGTTTATATTACTTTAAATTATTTTTGTTCTTGCTGTTATTTTTTGTATTGGTATTTGTTAAAATTTGTTTCTGTTTATCTTGCTTTTTGTAGTACTTTGATAATTGCCAATTTACAACAAATCATGTACAATGTTGAAGAATTTTGAAAGCTTTGGTGAAGTCTTTAGTTGTTCCTTTCCCTCAAATTTTGAAATGAACATCTCAACAGACTGGAGTATCAAGAATACAATTTTAAAAATCAGGCATGAAGTATCGACAATGGGTGAAGAGAAACTTCTAAGTACACCTGGAAAAAATCATAAAAGTTCTGCCAATTGAAACTGCAAAACTGATAATTTCGATAAATGTGTTTTGTAGTTTAAAATAAGGTATTACCGTAATTTCGCGCGTATAGTCCGCGGACTATCTGTGTTTAAAATGCGAATTTTTGAAGCTGCGGACTATCCACCAGTGCGGATAATACGCTGGTTGTTCACGGTTAAAATCGTTGAAATTTAAAAAACACGCTGTCATGAACTGCCGATGATCAAATATATTGTAAAGCGCGAGTTGGTCCGGGAAAACGGTCGCCATGTATCGTATCGATAGTAAACCATAGAGCATAGTGCAGAACGAATGAGCAGTAGCAAGTAGAGCTCCCTAAAATCCAGGCTGGCGCATCAAGCGATGCCTGGATATGAGCACAAAAGAAAGTCTTGTATAAGCACTCACTTAGCGCAACCAGAGTCTTGTATCCCAGTATCCTTCACACTGCTTTAAGCGCAACTGACTGCCAGGAGGGGGAAAAGTAGTTGATGCGTCAAGCTCGATTTTTAGAAGCCCACAGTAGCAAGTACCTGAAGTACGAAAAGAAAAGCGTGATTCGTTTACTTATAAAGCGTGGTTTGGCAACACCGATTGAGTGGGGTCGAAGGTCACATTTTATTACCATTATCACGAGGATAGCACACTGCACAGTATTTTGTCTTTCATCTTCGATAATGTTGATGAAACATCACCGCAGTTTTACTAGAGAAGCGGGCCGTTATTGGTTTAATCCTAGTATCCGGTGCACACGGGATTCGACTACTTTTGGCGACTTTATGATGAGCAGTGAAAACGGGACATAT